GATATGTACCAAAAGGCGTAATAAGGCACGTTTTGTCTTGGTCTTTTTCTGCAACTGCAACTTGAAAATACCCGCTTTGTAGATCTAAAGTTGTCATGAATTTGGTACTCTTTGCAGCGTGCAACAGGTCATCCATTCGAGGCAAGGGGTATCGGGCTGGGTTTGTTATCGCATTTAGCTTGCGATAGTCTACGCAGACACGAGTACCACCGTCTTCTTTAGGCACCATAACAACAGGTGATGACCACGCTGACTCACATTCTTCAATAACTTCATTTTCGAGCATCTTGTTAATTTCGCTTTTTAGTTCTTTTAGTTTCGCAAACGACAATCGGTACGCAGGTGATGCAATGGGCTCGTGTTCACCAGTATCGATAAAATGCTGTGCATATGGCGTAGGCTCACACGACGCACTAAAAACGTTTGCATGCGATTGGAGAATGTTATCGAGCCGAATCTTCTCTGCAACTTCCAACCATACGCCATCACTTTCTTTAAGGAATCGAAAGTCAAATGAAAATAAATAAATATTATCAGTGGCATTGTTATTAAAAACAACCCCGTTAAACAAGCTAGGGCCTTTGCGTCGTTCGGGCGTAACCATGTTTGGTGGAATGGCATCTTTAAATATACTTTGTATCGTATGTGGTGAGTAATCGTTTGGCAGGTCAGGACCGTAATACTCAAACTCAGACATGTAGACTTTTGGCTTATCAATCTCTTTGAAAGCTGCCTCTTCTGGTTTGCGTTTGGTTTCGACTGCGCATACTTTCACTCTTTCCACAACATTTAATTCGAGTGGCAGTTGTTCTGCGAAGTCAAAATGCTGTGTTGGATTACTCTCAAAGTACCAATATCTTTGACCCATATTCAAAACTATTCCTGCTTGCTCCAAGAAATCTGCGCCAATCAACGTTCGATTACCAATTGCATCTGGTAGCACCATAAACCGAATATTTAAACAGCGACCACCTATTACCATGTCGCATTTAGTTGTAAGGCATTTTTGGAGTGACGTGCTACCGTCGCCGAGAGTGATTTCGCACTCAAGTCTTTGGTATATGCAACCTTTAAAATCCATTATCCGTTTCAAATTTGCGCTGGCTACACTGGTTCGCGCTCCGGAATCAAAATAAACCTGTCCAGGCAGACCAAACAATTGTACATTTGCAATTGGAATGTTTCTTCCAATTGGAATAGTTAACGAGTTAAAATTAACCGCACCATGACTCGTGGATGGTTTGTTTGCACATTTGGGGCAGTTTGCGCGTGTAATACCTGGCGCATTGCAACCGTAACATGCGAAAGTTGGTTTCCTCACTATTGAATGTGCAATCGCTTGTGTTTGTGCTTGCTTTGCTTCTTCGTTCTTCTTTTTAAAACACACATCAGCATTATGACAAAAATCGCATCGCACTTGTGCTAACAACAGCTTTATCAGCGTTCACAGTCGGCGTTTTGTGTTCTCGCAGGGTCAACTCGGCTTCGCGAGCTTCGTTCAATAAATCATCGAATGTATTAATTCGCTTACGACTCACCCTGTCCCGAATTTGCAAGTGCAGCATTCCAAACAAAATGTCGATTTGATCGGCTTCGTTCGGCACATTTGTGAGTTGTGAAAACAGTGCACGCTTTTTTCGAACAAAAGTGTCTGTCGGTTCATTTTTTTGTTGCTTACATTCAAAAATATCACCGTATATTCGCCATGATGGTTTCAGAGGGGAAAAAGCTTCTCGGAGCATTCGGACAACATCGTCAAAAGCTTTTGCTTTTTCTTGTACACCACGCCACCATTCTGCGGCGTCGCCCTCAAGAATCATCGGCATACCTATGATTGCGTCGGCATCATTTATTTTCTCAACGGCTTTAAATGTCGCTACAGCAGCAATAAACTCCTCAACCTTTGTGGACTCGCGTTCACCACCATAACGAGCAGTACAATTGCTGAACGAGCCAGCTCGTGTATTAAAATGGCCGACAGCTTGCATAAGCCGCTCGAATTGTTCGGTAGTAAACTGAGTCATGTTAGAATTTGCAATTCTTTCGCTTCGGCGTAATGGTTTTAAATAACTCGAGAGGTTTGCCACGATGTTGGGCGCCAAGTTATAAAATTATTATTATGCAGAAAATATAATTGAGTTTATTGAAAAGTTTTTGAGCGTGGATTGTTTAGTACATGAATGTATAAACCTTAAACAAATGAAATTATTTACACGGGAATTAAATAACATCAAATCGTAGATATTATTTTGATAAATTTAGCGATCAGTTTGGCACTGTTCAACTAAATATAGGAAAATTACTATTAGCGACCAGTTTGGCACTATTCAACTAATTTGTAAAATACTATCATTAGAGACCAGCTTATCGCTGTTCGTCTAATGTAATACTAGAAATAGTGTGTATGTATGTTTGTATAAGTAATCGGGCCACCACCGCAGCCCACGACTAATTACAGAAGACTTACCTCTCGAGTGAACGTCTATCGCAAGTGAAGACGATCGCTCGAGGGTAGAGTTGTCAAACTATCGATAGTTTCAATTTTTTTAGACTATCAATACTCATTGATAGTTTTTTCTTATACTATCGAAAATATCGATAGTTTAGTAGGACTATCGATCATCTCTCCCAATTTCTTTGAAATCATACATACATATGTTAATCGTAAATCCTGTTTTGTTTGTATAACTTGTGTTTGTTTTTGAACTTTCTAAAAAGAGAAGTATTTTGGCTAAGCAGTTACTTAATTTTGAATGATTACAACTTTTATAAGATAATATTTATTTCACTATGATCCTGTAAAAGCAAAGCAACCTAACTGATTTAGCGCTATCGATAGTGCTATCGATAGTTTTGTTTTTTTCGAGACTATCGTGAATATTGATAGTTTTTCGGAAAACTATCAAAACTACATATGATGTGACTATCGATAGTGTGACACTTCTACTCGAGGGTTCGCGCTTTTATAGTTGCAGCGTGGAGCTTTTGTTATGCGTTCCAAAAGTAAAAGCTTTTTGTGGATTGCAACTTCACATATGTTTGGAATGTAATCCAATGATTTCTACTACAGGGTTGTATTGTTTAACAATTAATTTTAGGCATGTACTACTAAAATTAAATACTTATGCTACATGTTTTTTTTTAATAAATACTACATGTTTGGCTACTTTTAATAGACATTTTTGAAATCAGCGATAGGCAAAGTGAAAAATTAAGAAATAAATAAAGTAAAAAAACTTTTTAATATACAACGCTTTTATAAATGGACTAAAAAGTATAAAATAATAATTCTCAGTCCCATAGAATTGTTTTGATAACTTTTGATTTTGAAATTTTAGCAAAAGTCTTTATATACAATTTATGAGATTGAAAACGAAAAGCTTGTGGCGCATGCATTAGATTTAATTTACAATAGTCAAACTACATATCATAAACCTAAAATTTCTACAGAGAAAGTACAAATTTGAGATCGATTTTAAGCGGTCGTTATTCATATATCCACATACACATATATGTTACCCTTCAATTCTGGTCTATTACATGCGCCCCACGCTCTTCATTTTCAATCTCATAAATTGTTTATAATGACTTGCTAAAATTTCAAAATCAAAAGTTATCAAAACAAATTCTATGGGACTGAGAATTATTAGTGGTATTTATCTAGGCCGATAACTTTATCAAGCAGATAATCTTATAAGTTTACGCACTCTGTTACATGAGTGACCCACACTCTCTTTTCGTTTACACATGCGACAATAGTCGTGTTTTCTTTGGTTATAGAGCACAGTATGTATCACTAACTTTATACTACTAGCACGAGGATAAAGAAATTATAAAAACTAACTCACTAAATGGGAAAAATTATATTATTATTATTTTATTATCTATTTAAATAAATATACATATAACATAAAGGCTATTTATTTGAAGCAAGTTAAAAGAAACAATGGCAGAATGTATGTTTGTGTTTTTTTTTAATATTATTTATTTTCTACTTTTTAGTCTTGTCCGTATAAAATTTTGCAATAGATATTAAAATAATTCAACGATATTAATAGATTGGTGCACACACATGCATATACATATGTATGTATAGGCGCGAGCAGAGTAAAAGCTCTCTCTGCCAAACGCTGATGTACATACATACGAGCACCAATTAATTTCATTTAAAGCACTGATAGGCACTATCTATACATTTTGTATAGGCGCGAGCAGAGTAAAAGCTCTCTCTGTCCAACGCTGATTTAAGGAAATAGTGTGTCGGCCATTTCCGCTGTAGCGTACGTAGTGCATAGGGCGACATCTACTTCTCAACTCTAGAGTTAGATGGCGCCCTATGCACTATGCGTTTTTTATAGGAACTTTGCAAAGCAAAGCTTTTATAGCTGCCTGGACAAGCAATATTGTAAGTTGATAAAAGCGTTGTACAAAATTTGAGATCGATTTTAAGCGTTCGTTATTATATATACCCACATACATATGTATGTACATCAGTGGTGCACAGCGTTGGCAGAGCTCCCAACACAAGCGCAATATTTTTGTATCTGTATGTGTGTACTCAGCAAAACAGCTCGCGCAAGTGACGCTTACAGCATGAAGTACAAGCGCAATCTGATCGGCTGCTAGCGGCGCATAACAGGCTAACCTAACGGCCCGTCTCCAGGGGCAAAAGTATTTGCCTACCAACTGTCATTTTTATAGCATGATAAAAATTTTATCAGCGGCAATATTTGTGCGTGGTGCATTTTTATCTTGATAAAAGCATTTATAAGATGGCAATTTTTTGTCGGATTTCATCAATTAAAAAGTTTAAAAAATATGCTATTTCACACCCAAGCAAATAATAACACATATTTTAATAGAAAACAGTTCAATTTTTGCTTTTATATTGAAATATCGATAATGTTGTCTCCACGAAGCTATCGCGCAAATGAAAATGTAGCTGTCAAAGTACCAAATTGCTGGCAATATTTATCAAGATAAAAACTCTGACAATTATTGCTTGCCAAGAGCAATATGCGGTCTCCATTGGCAAAATATTGCCTGATAACATTATCAAGACAAAAACTTTTGCCTGTGGAGACAGCAAGTAATATTCGCGGCTTGCGTTTTGGTACGCACGCCGTCGAATTTGTTTTTTTGCGTCACCCGAAATTGGCTTGCGTGCGTTTGCATTTGATTTCATTGAGCGAAACGTCAAATCAAAATGTCACGCATAACAATAATTGGAAATTGAGTTAGCTTCATACGCACGCCGTTCAATTTCGGTTGGTCCCATACAAGTTGTATGTGCATGAGACATTTTTGACAGTAAATTGCCGGCGTGCGTGAATATTGGGTTAGCCTGTAAGTGCGGTAGCTGCGCACACTCGCCTTGTATGCGAAAGCCGAGTAGCTTCCGGAGACTCCCGTGCAGTGTTGCCGCTCCGTCTCAAGAAAATGTATCACCGACCAGCCAAAAATGTATCCAAATGTATCCAATTTTTTTTTTACGTATCCATCTCATAATTTGTAAGAAAACCAAAAAATTTGAAGAAAAATACATAATTTAACCCATCCTAAGGACTTGGAATACGTGTATATATATTTTTATATTTCATAAAATCAAACATTTGTAATTTCAGTTTATAAATTACATCTTTTATACATGAGTATTTTGTAAAGTAAGTATAAAAAATAGTAGTTAATATGTTACATTTGTACCTGTACACTATGAAAAGTTTGTGTAAAACTACTACTGAAAAATATCTATTTTTCAACAGGAATCTGTATAAATATCAGTGTACGAAAATAAACTATATTGTACGTTACTATTTCGTTTCGTTTATTACTTTAACAGTTCGGTACAATACGAAAACAAAACGGCTGAGTTCACTTTGGCGATAGTACACTACAGTAGTTAGTAATTACATACGAAACAACAAACGAAATGAATCGTGCAGAAAAAAATATATGTATGTATGTACATATATGCAATAACTAAATACAAAACGAATGGCTGCAATGAATAAAAAAAATAAAAATGTTTTTTAATCGAATTGGATATGAAAATTTACAGAAAAAAATATTTTTCACGTAATTGAAACGTTTGCATACATATAAAACGTACCATATGGTACAATTGTCACAAACGAAATGCAAACGTTTCTCGTTGGGGAAAATGACAGTGAATCTTACACTTTGTTTCTGACTATGTACAAAACTGTACAAAACCACAAATGATATGATGATCGATGAGCAAATGGGAATTGTTTTGTACAGTTTATTTTCGTACCCTGATAAATATACATGCGTATAAGATGTTCAGGATTCGATTTTGAATTTGAAATCTTTAAAACATATGTATATATACATAAATATACACATGAAATGTTTAAAGTTGCAAAAATTTTTAAACTAAAAATACATTTCCTACAAATAATAAACATTAGGGGCTTACATTTACTCTATTTTAAACATTTTATGTATTATTTTGCGCTCTGCGAAAAATTTGGTATGTTAAAGTAAACAGGCAGTGTTTAATTTTATTACACGGCGTGCAAATTTGCACACATTAAAAGAGGAAAATGGTTACCTTTCTTAAAATGCGCAAATAAACAAAAAAATTTAGAGTGTGTTTAAAGTCTTTTCAGTAAAATTCATAAAAATTTCCTTGAATAAATCAAATTTAGCTTTTTAAACAGTGTATTTTAAACTACATTGAGATCTTCTTTCTTTTTATATTAACAAATGAAGAAATGTGATATGAAAGAGATATATTTAATTTATATATATATATTAAGATCATTGTGTGACAACATCAAGGCACACGCCACAAATCGGAGGAGAAGCTCGGCCAAACACTAACGTATGTGTAAGCGCCATCTATTATTACTATTATTATATTAAGATCTTGCTTAAAGCATTTTTTTTAGCTAACTAAACAATTGCGCCTAAAAGCTTAAACAGACGGCAGCGTTGATCGGGATTAACTGGGACTTAATCCGGATTAACTGCAGTTAATTCCCGAGTTGATCCGGATCAACGCTGCGGTCTGTTAAAGCTCTTATTACACTGCTTTGGTGAGATCTCTTCATATGTTCATTGCATCATTCACAAAAAATAAAACGTTCTAATTTTACGCTTAAGTAGCGATTTTTATAACATTTAGAAAACGTCATTAATGAAAATCTATTTTTGAACGAAAAAAACTTTATAGAAAATATAAAATTTTGGCCGATTTAAAAAAGTATCCACATTTATACTGATAGGAAAAAATAAGTATCCCGCAAAAATTCGTCTAAAAATGTATCCAATTGGATCTATTTAGATCCAAACGGCATCCCGGCTCCTGTGTGCACCACTGATGTACATACATACATATATTACTTTTCATATCAATTCAAGTCTATTACATGCGCCCATATCTATATCTATACTTCTATACTCTATACTAATTATATAAAGAGAAGTCCCTTTTTTTTGTAACAGGTAATCTCGCGAACGGCTGGTCCGATTTTCATGAAATTTTGTATAC